CCCCCCCCCCCCACCCCCCCGGCCCCCCGGGAGAATGGTTTGACAAAATGCCTCGACACTACGCCCCGTTTGCGTCTTGGTTCTGGCTTTACTGAGATTTGGTTCCTCAGTTTCCGGTCAAATTGAGCAGGCAGCTGGTTTGAATAGTGTAGCTGTGCGCGAAGAAGCGTATGGCAGAGCATGGACATGAACTCTGATCTGAATGTACAGGGTCTGCTTTCTGCAGGGCTCTCCTTGGTCTCAGGTTGAGGTGAGATGCGTCGAGACTTGAGTCAGTCTGTGGACCTCAGTTGCCTTGTGCGAGTTGCGAGGGTCAAACCTGAAGAAGACCTGAAGTGTCGAAGCATATCTCCACTGGGGCTTTGGGCAATTTGGGTTTGTCGGCAAGCCTGATTCCAAGGATTGTGCAGTGTCGGACTGGCTCAACATTTCCTTGTGCAGCGCCAGCTGCGGCGGTGGCACCTCGACTAACAACAGCAAGACCAGCGAATAATGCAGCTAATGGTAAGAATACTATAAGAATACTAGTCATAGCAACATTGGCTCTGTGGAGCACGAGCGAGAGGAATGAGCGCAAACCTCAGATGCTGTAAGCTGTACTGCAGACAGCCCCTCCGGCAGGACTCGTGCGTCAGGCACGGGAAATTCTGGCAGAGGCATCAGAAGGCAGGCGGCAAAGGGCTATTTTGGGATATTTTGTAGCAGCCGCAGTGAGTGGGACGGCCCGTCGCGGCAGCATTGACGCGTGACTGTGCTGGAAGAACTGGCTGGCTGCTATGCGATGCTTTGTGCTGGCTTAGTTGCCACAGAAGAGCCCCACAGATCCGTGATCACGCGTGCAAATAGCATGGGTTACCGTTTAGCTACTCCCAGTCATTGGCATTCGAGACGCCTGGCAGCTTGTCAAGTGCTGAAGTTCGGGCGAGAGACCTTGCTGTCAGGTGGCAGTGGCTGCCCTGATGAGCTGGAAAGAGAGAAGCTGACTCGCATTGGTTGCATCATGTTGCATCCTGCAGGGCAGCCGGGCAGAGCCAGGGATTCATGGTTGAGGGACGGTGAATACAGCTGGGGTTGTGGCGGTGGATGGCAAGGTCAGCAAGATGCAGCAGAGTGCGCGACACGTCATGGTGATCACAGAAGAGGCTGCAGCCGAGGCTGCCATGCAACGAGCTTCCGTGTCCGCTGGACTGCAAGATGAGCGGCTGGAAAGATGCGGGTGGCTTGGCGAGGGATTACGGCACCTGCGCCAACTGCCAGAGAGATGCAGGTCCTCAGAGAAACAACCGTCATCAGACTTGCGTAGATCCGGGGTTGCGATGGCTTCTTTCATGCACGAAGGGCTACGGCTAGGGGCCATGCATCACCACGCAGCAGATGTCAATCGATAGTCAAGTTTGCGACGCTGCTTTTGGGGGAAATGTGGGTGGGCTGTTTGTCGACAATCAAGTTTCATTCAGACCTCGAATGTGTGTTTGCGTGTGTGTGGTTTTGGTTTATCGCAGCTCCGTGTCAGGTAGCTGTTCCAAGAGCTGCGGGGGCGGAAGAATCCGGCAGCGACTTGGAGTCACCCAGAGAGAGTGCTTCCTGTCAACGCACGGCCAACTGCGGGCCGAGGACACGCATCGTCCTATCGAAACCTGTTTTCGGCGGACGACCTTGCTCGACACATCAGCTTGCAATTGAGCGTGATTTTCTTGACCTTCGAAACATATATAGAAGTAGTAGTCCAAGCATTAGTCTGTTTCGGTAGCGAGGGAGTGAGGTTGCCAACGGTGCATGTAAGGAAACTGGAACAAGAGGTGCTGTGCAACGACTACCCGTGTGAAGGACGATGTCTTGTGTGCAAGACTAAGTGACTGCTGCAGCCCTCTTGAGGTTTCCATACTAAGATTTCGTTTCGAACTCCCATTCTTGGCATTGCCGCGGTGATTCGGTTACGAAGAAGCCGGAACGGCTCCAGCTCCTGACCCAAAGCCAAAGAAGGTCGCCAGTTCAGCCGAGAGGCGGTAAGTGGACGTACGTTCCTGCAGGCTTGATTGCGATTTGCAACTGAAAATCAATCTCGGAAGCAACACACATTTGACAAAAGGAACTCCCTGACTGCTGGCTGCTGGCAGTACATTACTTGCTTCATCACCACGGTCCCATGTTTTGGACGTTTGACGATGGCTCTGCACTTTGGTGTTTGCATAGAGGCCGTGCTGCGAACAAGAAGCCCATATCAAAGGTCTAGGTCCTAGGTTGTTCTACACTGACAGGAGTGGATTGCAGGATGTCGGGGTGGATGGACCAGGGGCACTGCTGCTCGGCAAGCTTGCTGGGCCCAGTGGAGGGCAGGTTAACCGCGTCCCGTTCTCTGGAGCATCCAGCAGAGGTTCGCGCAGCTGCGGTGGCGGTTTGCAGCGTCAGTTCCGGAAGGCGCATTGCAGGGTTCTGTCTTGGCGATTGGAGCCGCCGAATCGCTGGATTCTGCGGTGCTAGGAACTGCTAGGATCAGGTTCTCAGTTCCCATGCCGCTACAACATCCTGAGCTCAGCAAGTCATCGCCCTTCGTCACTATCTCCGCAGGTGCTAAAGGATGCTACCTTTGGAGGCCGAGCCTGTGACACGATGAATATGCGCCTGGGAATGAACGGTAATTAACAATAATGCGTTGCTTGCTGCTTGCTTGTGGACGGGTTCAGCCTTCGAGGTCTAGAACGGTGATGTGCAATCCCGTCCCGTGCAAGGCTGGGCTGCTAGTGCTATGCTCATCTGATATACTATGTTGAACAAAAACCAAGAGCTCTTCTGTGGAACTCTCGCCCAGCCGTTTCGCTCCTGGCCGAGTTTATCTCCACCCATGTGCCATCCCCGAAGCACAATGCCAGGGTGAAGTCATGCTTGCAGTTCCGACGCTTCAGGAGAACTCATGATGGTAGACCAATTGATTTACTGTATTCAGGAACGAACCGGGTGTCCCTGTTCACGTGCTATCACCTTGCTCGAGCCTCCACCGCTGCCCAGACGGAGGCTTGTGTCAATGTTGCGGGAACAAGCCAGCATGATGTCGTTGGTTGGCAAACCTGTGCTGATAGTTAGGAGTCTTACCGATGTCCCTGGCATCCATCAGTGAATGTATAGGGATCTTGGTCTAACTTACGCTTGCCCCCGACGAGAGCTGGCGGCAAGTCGCGCAGAGCGTTATAGACTGTAACTTCTGGTACAGTCATGTGTTTCTGCTGTGGTGGAGCGGCACATTGAACGTTATCATGTGGTTCCTACACAGTGGGGCGGCAGTGGTCTTATCCGTCCCGTGGCGTTTGCATAACCGGGATCCCACAAAGAGCCTGTGTGGAATCCACACCTTCCAGGCAGAGGGCTTCGATCCGATAGCAGCCGGCCGCAAGACAGGCAAGAGCCGACTCAGAGACCGGAATCTGTAGTATGGGTTAGGCCCTGGGCACAGGACTCTGCACGTGCAGGGCTTCCATGGCAGATCTCTACGATGGTTAGCAGGTTTTTCCATCGTCTTTGTGCCGACGAGGCTTTGACTTCGACATTGCCGAGTTCTGCGACCCTTCGGAGAGATGCGACGGCGGAAGAAAGCTCCGTCCGGTATCAGCAGTTTAGGTTGCGCGGATCTTGCGACAGAGGATCCGCACAAAGCCGTTTGCTCAAGCTGCAATTCTCCAGGTCCAGGTTCATGTATTGTTTGGCTAGGAGTTGTCGTGGCAGTCAGGCTGCCGCACCCTCTTCCAGCTCTAGTTGAATCGCAAATCACGCCTGCTGGCACAAAAGAGAAGCCTCTGAACGCCTCCCCATTTCCATTCCGGATCCGCCTTGCTTCATACATGGCGCTCCGTGAGGGTGCTCTTCCACGGTGCTCTTGGAGTGATAGCAGGATTACAGATGTTAGAGTTGCGGCGAGGTCAAGATCCAGCTAAATGAGTAGAAGTGCGCAAGGCTCCAATAGCCTCGCAACTTGTCACACCGTGCAGCTTGTGCTGTTGTTTTCTGCCGCCCGTCCACATCTGCCGCACAAGGTGCGCAGCAGGCCCGGGGTGCCGCGTGCCGCATGCACTGGGGCCTCAGACAAGGGCGCCCACATCGCTGCTGCAGGCATCAACATGCGCGATCCCTGCCTCTGGACCTCAAATTTTGAAATGGGTACTGTGAAGATATCAGCTCGGGGACAGACTCTAATGAGAGCACAGTAGCACTGAGCTCGATGAAGTGTCCTAAGGCGCTGTGTGAAGCCAAGGCTTGCATGCTTGGCCTGGTCTTCGGCTGCACCCGGTCCTCTGTGCAGCGGGACAAGTCTCGCAGCAGCATGAGCGCAGCTTGACATCACCAGCTGCCTGCCCACTCCGAATCCGATTTCCGTGTAACCGAACAGCACTTGACACTTGACTTGACGTTGTCAAATGAAGGTCGCACCGGCTACATATTCAGCAGAATCTGCAGCCTGCAGCCTCCATGAGTTGCATACAAGTGCGGGTTGAATGTTGTACAGTGCTGCATGCATGCCCATCTGATCTTCGACCGTGTGCTGAATCCTGCCTGTACCTAGACTTCTGAATTCGCTAAAAGCCAACACAGCTGTCAGAAGCCTGGGCCTCGACTTTTCATATGAGGGTTGATAATCTGCTCTTGACTTAATAATAATACGTGTACTACCGAGCCTATTTGTTGGCTACTCTTGAACATGGTTTGAACCTAGAGCACCTGGTGTGGGTGCATGCAAGAATGTGAAACTTCAGGGGTGTATGAAATGGTTATCAGAAGATTCGCTCAGCTTGTTAGAACCGGTTGGCAACTTCGATGTGGCGTTCCCACATGTCGATGATACGACTGCAGGAAGAAGTTGTCAATACCAAAGTCATCACCATGGCATAGGGCAGTCCAAGGCATGGTTCACCAAAGACCCGCCGGCGGAAGCAGATCCCACAGATGGTCCCTTCGACGCAGCCACGCAGCTTTGCCGAGGTAGCACGTTCACAACTTTGTCACGAATTTGGTTTAAAGCGGGACTGCAAGACGGACGAAGGGGCCAGAAGGGGCAAATAAATCAGCACAGGCAAATTGGAGTCATCGATGCTGTGGGCTTCTTCGATCCGCTGGGCATTGCTCGAAATGGCTTCTGGTCTCCACTGCGAAAGGCTGGAAAAAAAAAGCTGGTGCAAGGCTTTGCTGTGTACTTGCTTGCGCTTTGCTTGCACTTGGCCACGCTTTGCCCCTCTGTGCGTTCACTGGCAGGCGGTGCCGCGTCTGGGCTTCTCCGAAGACCGGGGTCAGGTGGGCTTCGCCTTTGGCCTGGACAGTGAGTGCCGAGGCGGAGCGATTAGGTGACTAGGGCCCCTAACATCTGGAATTTGATTCGACCACTCGACCACTCCAGGAAGTGTAGCTCGAGTCTCATGCCAAGGTACGAGCCAAGTGATCCCGCACTCAACGAGGACGAGAAATGGTTTCGCAGACTGCGCGAGGCCGAATTGAAACACGGTCGGATATCAATGCTGGCCGCAATGGGATTCCTGGTGGCTCACAAGGTTCGTCTGCCCGGCTTTGGCTTTGATGTTGCAAGCGAGGGCATTAGCGCCGGCTTGAGCAACGACACCTGGCAGCGAATCTCCCTTCTCATCTTCATTTTTTGTGGCCAATTTGAGCGGAATCAATTCCGGCAAGAAGCTGCGCGGCAGATCGGTGACTTTGGCGACCCTCTCAAGTTGAAGCAGTACACTCCTGAGATGCGGCTTACGGAGCTTATAAATGGTCGAGTGGCCATGTTGTCTTGCCTGGCAATTTTCGCTATTGAGCAGACAACAGGAAAGCCCGCCACTGAAGTTTGGTACCCTTTCGAGTGATCTGTCGCCACAGGTAGCAAGTGCTCGCTGATCGGCCCTTAAGCCGACACGGCCAACACTGTATCTTGCAGACACCTGCATGCTACCAAGCATGCTGCGTGCATTGATGATGGCTTAGAACCCTCGAACAGGCACTGGTGCCAAAAGAAAGATGGTGTTGCAGACTAGCTGCAGCTCTGCACGTGCTCAGCGGTTCTTTTGACGTGCTATGATTCGCATTCAATCCACCCTCCGTCGTGGAAGGGAGGTATTCGCACATGCCATCGCCTTACAAACCAAGGTCAAATGTGCCTGCCAAGCGCGAGGCCTTACCTGGAGGCCTATCAGACCTAGAAGCCTGCACGATGCATGGTGGGGAAGGGTAGCAACATGGGAGGAGACGATAGGGATGGAGGATCCAGCCATCTGTGTCGGCTCAAGCTGCCCAAGGCGAGCTTTCGGGGCGGATTGCGATTGGCAACGGCAGATGACGGCAGACTCCGAAAATGCGCACAGCTGGCCGATGGTCATCAGGCTTGATAACGACCGAGGACGACATCCACCCCACCGGCACGGGCTGAGGAAGTAGATTTGTTCAGCTTGCTGGGTTCTGCGTGCAAGACATCCACGCCACAAGACGTCTACACCGCACAGGCACGAGGCGGCACTGCATGTTGCACTTGCGGCCGCCAAGCCTACGATAATTCGAAAACTGTCTTCACCCATGACGAGCGTTTCAACGTTTCGGGCTCGGAGACATGCAGCGGTGATTGTTGGATGCAGCGCTGTGTCTACCCAGCCGCAGAACCAAGGAGTGGATCAAGGCAACGTCTATATAACTATATACTCCGCAAGCCATAAAACTTTGCCGTGAACTGTGCCGGCAGCGCCGAAGACCCACACACGCTCTTGCAGCGCGAGCTGCCTCGGGATGTGCTTGCCACGCATCCCGCTACAGTAGACAGTGAGATCGGCATCTCTTTCCTCAGCGACCAATAGCTGCCTGCAGCTCGACGATCCCTGGCTTCACCCACATGCGTCATGAAACTAGGTTCCGAGAGCCAGCGGATGTTGAGATCACCTGCAGAAGTTTGGCGAGTCGGCCTTGTCATTGTTGGAGAAGCGTGTTGTAGCTATTGAGGGCAACCTGAACTGCGTGAAGCTTGATGCTTTGCAGAAGTTGACAAGGTATAACAGGCCTGTCAGCATATCCTTGGGTGACGGTACCAAGCGTGACAGTCGAAAAATCCTTCGCTGCAGCAGAAGCTGTTTCGATTCGGAAGCATTGCGACTTCGTAGTGATTGCTGAGCTCCGGGGCAAGCAGGGACTCCTTAGGATTCCGCATTTACAGATCGGGGCTTCGCACTGACTGGTTCGGTTGGGGAGATTTCGTTTGACAAGTCTGTGCAGAGACTGCAAAGAACAGGCTTTCCCAGGCCCAGGAGCCATCGAGATGCTTGTTGAGTTTGGGTGGCAGAGTTTGCTGCTCCGAGGAGCTTTCGAGACGGGCTCAGCTGCGCTGAGGTCCTTGCCTGTGCCAAGCTCGCTGCGATCGGTGAGTGAACTCTGTTCAATTTCCCTTCTGCACACCTACGACTGCCAGAGAAGCAGTGATGTTTGTTGACCATGACACGGTGCTGCCCATGGCTGCAGTCGCTTTTGTCAGGCCTCAGACAGCTGAGGACTTCGAGGCCTTGCTTGCACAGGGCGCGACCTCGTGCACTACGCCACTAAGCCGTGTGGCACATCGCAAAGGTTCAACTGTTTGTGGGAGTACAGTCGTCAAAAACTCTTGGCAAGGCTGCACTAAGCCGAGCAGAAAGCGGAGGAGCAGACTTGCTGCAGGCCGACAGCATGCTGATTTTTAGACACGGGGCCGCCTGCAGGCATGCCTCTCCCTTTGTCTGAACCGATTGCCTGTCGCCCTCTACTGGCCTTGCCGATGCTGACTCGGTTCAATCAGCCCCCCAATTTTCCGCTCGCTAGCTCTCTGTTCTGACCATGTCGGGGTGGGGAGACGAAGTTTGGAAGGATGACGACAAGGCTCGGGCCGTTGCACTTTCTGGCTAACATCCATGGAGGCCACATGCAAGGGTTCCTTCATGTGCAACCAAATGCACGGCACGCTTCAAATGTGGGTGCGAGAAGGTAAAGAATATTTGTTGTCTGCAGACCTCGCCTGGACTTGTGAGTGAGTCAATGTCAAAAGTTGGAAAAGTCGAAGAATCGTCGAAATCAGAGTCCGCAAGAGCAACGAAGGCTACGTCCGCTCACTCAGACTCATGGAGGTATAAGTCCCTGGCTTGACTAAGTCCCCTTACTCAGCACGTAGAAAGTAGCGAGGGGCTGAACACGACTAGCGCAACATTTGTCTCCAAGCTGACTTGTTTGGATACACCACGATACACCTGCACATGTGCTCCGCACCAAGCCGAACGAACCTTTACATCGCACTTTGCACACTTCCTTTCCAGGAGCCTGTGCAACTTACCACCCAACTGCATATGCGAGGATCCCACACAGAACCTAGAATCCGAAAGCAGTCAACCTGCTACAGCAGCAGGCGCGAGAGGCAAGGCAAGGGAAGTAGATCTCACGTCGTTGATGCCGCATCCTTCCACGCTGCAGCCACAACAATCATGGCTTCAGGTCCGCGTACTATACGGTCAAAATGTGGAACCGTGGAAGACCTTCGACGAGTGCTCTGGCTCCTGGCGATTCCCGGCAGGCGTCCTGACATCGGATGCTGCTGTGCTATCCCACGCATTCTGGGTACTCTCCATTGGGTTGAACGACTTTTTGTACTGCGGCACAATACGTACATGTCTAATTGAAAATGTGTGCAAAATAATTCAGGTACAGCATGATCCATCCATGCATCCGTCCCTCCATCAATCCATCCATCCATCCATCCAGCTGTGTGCCTGCCTGTCTGTCTATCATGGTCTCTTTGTACCTATCTCTGTACATGGTTATTAAACTGCTTGTTTATTGTTAACCTAATGACCGTCTCCTAATTGTAGGTCTGGTAGGTAGGAATGAGGAGGTCAGTTTACAGATCGTGAGAACAGCCTTGATCACTTACGTCCGTGGCCATTTTGGCGATCAGCCGATCGGCCCGGATTTTCGATCGTCGGCGTGGGGAAAATAGATCATCTCGACTTGCAGCACTGTCGTTCCCCGCAGCTGGTCCCTATCGTGGAGAAGAGCCCAGGAGGTTGCCTGCCGTGGAAACCGTCGGGCAATGGGGGTCGGCACGCCCGGGCAAGCTAGGGATCTTGCAGGCCGCAACAGCGGCACGACCACCCGAATCTTCAGGGCCATCGTGCAGGACTCCGAACCATGCCGTCGAGCGCGGCTCACTCGACCGAGGGGTCCACGGACCGTGCTGATCCTCTTCTCTCGAACGCGCTGGTCTCGCGAGCTTGCAGCACCTCGGTGAACACATTGGGCGCAACGGCAGTTGAGGTCGCGAAAAGCGGATGTCAGTTCTCATGCGATCGCGAGCCCCAGCAAGGAGCTCTTCCGTGTTGTCCGCCGCGGTGAACTCGCCCCGCGGGATCACCTGGACCTCCGACTCCGACACCCGCTGATCATGAAGCTGTTGAGCAGATGCCGGGACAACGGCGATTGCCGAGCTGGCTGACGTCCCAAGCTCACCAAAGGCATGCCGAGCCGCCTCTTTCATGATTGCCGGCGGCCATCTGCTACTGCCAGACCTTCGGCATGCGATCGCAACGGGTTCACATGTAGTTGTGAAAGATCGAGCTCGCAGGTGGAAATCCGCTGCGCGAGCTGCTGCACGTGGTCCGGGCCTTCCACGCGAGCTCGTTGTTGACGGAAAGCCTGGGTAGTGCTGATCAAAGCAGGCCCAGTATGGCTAACCGAGAGCCACGTCCCTGGCACGGACGTTCGCCCACACTTCAAATCGATCCGGTTGTTGGCACCCCTGATCCGGAACTCGACCCGAGCGGCGTCATTGCCATAGCCCTCCGTAGACGAGCGAGAGGTGACCCGGAGCTCACTTGCTCCTGGCATGATCGCGGGTCACAACCGATCCATGAGGCCTGATCCAGTAGTCATTCGCCGTACGGTTCAGCACCTCATCGCAGAACAGCTGTGGGCCGAGAAGTAGGTGGCCCAGGTGTCGAACATGACCACGTAAATGCCTGGCAAGCCGAGTGGGAGAGGGCACGGCTTGCATAGCTAGGAATCCCGCTGAGCACATGGGCCCCCCCGCTGTCCTCGACGACATGGTGAACACCAAGACCGCCTTTGAGCGTGTAGTTGGCAAACAAGCAGCAAGGATAGCCGGAGTTCGGCGGCATCAGCTGATCACGCTCCGTAAGTACATTGATCGAGCCCGCGGCATTGGACATGATCTCGTCCACCAGCCAGTTCTGAAACGGGCTGATCAGCCGCTCGTCCCTGTTGTCAACCACCAGCAGAGAGTTGGGATCTTCCGCTTCGACCACCACCTGCTCCACGAACTCAGGCTTCTGTACCACGAAATGGTTGTGGGCAGCAGGAGCTGCTCTATCGCCCCTCTGACAACAGTGCCGAGCGATCCTCTTGGCGCACTCGCTCCCAGCACAGATCTGCGCGTACATAGATGCATGCTTTTGTCAGTTTGCCCTGGCCCAGGCATGGGAGCAGGCTCGTGCGATCGCCAGGTGCAGCTGTTCAGGCTGAAGGATGGATAGGTTAGGTAGATCCTTTCGCTGCCCCCAACATAACCCCACACGACAGCCTACCCTTTTACCTGTGTGTAGCCCTGTCATAGACCCTGTCCGCCCCTGTTACAGGCCCTGTCACAGGCCCTACTATAAACCCTGTCCGTAGACCCTGTCCCTGTCAGTAGGCCCTGTCCACCCTGTCACAGGCCCTGTCGTGGGCCCTGTGCCACAGGCCCTGTCAAGGCCCTGTCCAGCCCTGTTAGTCCGGTCCTGGCACAGGCCCTGTCCATGACAGCGACAGGCCTGTGACAGGGGAGGACAGGGCTGTGCAAGGGGTGAGGGCC